TTTTTTTTTTTTTTTTTTTTTTTTTTTTTTTTTTTTTTTTTTTTTTTTTTTTTTTTTTTTTTTTTTTTTTTTATTTTCAAAATTTAGATATCTAGAATGTACTAATAATATTATTTCTTATATATTTAGGTTTCTTATATAGGTTTCAAACCAAATTCCAAAGAAAAATACTTAAATCTAAAAGTTTCAAAACTGTTTGTTTAGATGGAACTCATGGTATAATATCTCATAATATATATCTTTTTATAATAGTTATAAGAGATAATAATAGCAGACATAGTATTCTTATAGCATATTTAATTTCAGAAAGAAAAGCTAGTGAAATATTAATTTATTAGCTTAGTTGTATAAGAAATAAAAATAAAAATTAGAAACCACATACCTTCCTTATAAATTGTGATGATACACAACAAAAGGCTATTCATGAAATCTTTCCCTATGCAAAAATCTTGCTTTGCTAATAGCATGTAAAAAATGCTTAGCAAAAAAACAAAAGTAAAATTAAAGCTGAAAGTAACTACTTTGAGAATTATAATAATAGTATTCACAAACAAACTAAAAAACAGTTTAGTAATATAAATAAAAGTTAATTAATCTTTTAGTTAGTTTGAGTTGACAACTAATCAATTAATCAATTAACTATTAATCAATTAATTGATTAGTTATTTATATTTTTAATTAAATTTTTTAAACATATTGATTAACTAATAAATTAGTTAATTAATTAATCAATAAACCAAACAACTAATTGATTAATTAATATACTACTTTATAATATTAAAACAGATAACTTAAAAGGCTATATTAGATAAGCTTAGTAATATAATATAGCTTTATGATACTACACAAGTGTATAAGACACTTGAAAATTATTTTTCTAAGTAGACTAATTGTGGTGAATCTAAATGGGAAATTATAGGTATCTCTCGTGAGAGATATATAAATTATATATCTCTCATCAACTAACCAATAAAAACACACATAAGTCATGTGACATACAATCTGAGCTTTCGATACATATTCTGGTTTGGCATAACGTTGTACATATCTGATATGTAATTAACAATTATCTCTCTTTATACGTATGTAATACGTATTAGATATGACATATTTACTATGTATGTTTTTGCAAGCAATTTGCCTGCGTAATATATTAAGAGATAACATACTTTTTTAGTGCATCAAACTTCTGTAAAAATGCAAATAAAGTTATACGATATAAATAGCTTTATTGGCTAAAAAAGTTTTTTTTTACTACATATTACACAAGAATAAGAACAGAAAAAATTTCTTTATAAACCTTCTCTTTAAAAATTACTGTGACCAGGTATAAGTAATTTGGTGTACGTAGTTACCTTTGACCTAAAGGTCTTGTAATGAGTACCAAGTGTATGTATATATTGGAATTATAAGAATTCAATAAATTCGAATTTAATACTAACCTTATTAAATAAATTCTAGGGGCGTAAAGTTTATAGTAGAACATATAATCTGTAGTCAAATATTATAGTGTGTGGTAGGATTATTAAGTGCTGCATATTATCTGAAAAAAAAAAAAATAGCAAACAACGAAAAGTGAGGTGAGAAGTTAAGACCAACAAGAAGTGAAAAGTTAAAGACCAACAAACAGGAACTGTAAAAGGTTAAAAACCAATGAAGGTTACAATAAAAACCAACTAACGGGAACAGATTATTAAGTGTCACACATTATTAGCTAAGAAAAAAAAAAAAAAAAAAAAAACAATAAAAAAGAACAAAAAAAAAAAAAGCCAAACAACGGAAAGCGTAAAGTTAAGACCAACAAGAGGTAAAAAGTTAAAGACCAACAAACAGAAACTGTAAAAGGTTAAAAACTAATGAAGGTTACGATAAAAACCAACTAACGAGAACGGTAAAAGGTTTAAGACCAACGAAAAGTGCAAGGCTAAAAATAACAAAAGGTAGCATTATAGCATTTATTAAAGACATTATATATTATACCAAATATGCAAGAACAACTTAAAAATGGTAGGGTTGTAATATTAAAGTAGCAATATTGGTAGTATGGTTAGACTGAATAATACTGATTTTGATATTTTTAAGGAGTTGTATCGAATAAATCTACTACTTATGATGAACGTGAAGATTTATTAGAACTTGAGAGCTTGGAATCTATAAACTTACTAGAAAATGAAAATCTGCTAGAATATGAATATGAGAATTCACTAGAATATGAACATGAGAATTTACTAGACTATGAACATGAGAATCTGCTAGAACATGTAAACCAACCAGAACCTGAAGTTTCTGGAAGCCAAATTGAACCTAAAGATTTATTTTTTCAATGTGGTCAAGCTTTTTCCTCTCTTAATACTTTCAAATACATCGCTGACCAATATTCAGGATCAAATGGATTTAAGGTTATATATTACAAAGGTGGTAATCGTAGTAATGGTATACGTCATACACAAGTTTTTACCTGTGACCGTTATGGATAATTTAAACCCAAACCTAAAGATCCTAACAAAAAAGCGAGAAATGTTGAATCAAAAAAATGTAGTTGTCCGTGGTCTATTCGCCTTAATCACAACCAAGATGATGATAAATATTATATTTCACAGGCTATACTTCACCACAACTATTCTTTGATTCCAGTACAGCTTATGCGTATTTTGCCTTCAAATCGTGAAATACCGGAAGATATCAGAGAAGAAATTCTGCTTTCAAAAAAAGTAGGTATTTCAGTGTTACAAATCCAGTCATTATTGGTTATGAAGTATGGACCAGCTACAAAAAAGTGGATGATTCGAGATATATACAATTTAATCAGTAGTGATTGTATGTTACGTAATGAATTCCAGGCTCATGACTTTCTCCTTCTTCTTCAGCAAAAACATAGAGATAACCCTGAGTTTTCCTTTGAGTTTGAATTAAACTGTGATAATCGTTTAAAGCATGTTATATAGGCATATCCATCACAAAAATGACAATATATACGCTTTCACGATGCAATTATGTATGATAATACATATAAGTGTAACTATTTTTCAATGCCTTTTGGGGTTTTTACTGGTGTCACTAATAATGGGCTTTCTTACTGTGTTGCTGGTGCTTTACTTCGTGATGAGACCCGTTCAAGTTTTGAGTAGCTTTTTGAAGCCTTTATTCGTATTTTTGGTACTGTACCACGAACAATTCTTACTGACAATGATCTTTCAATGTCTGATGCTATACGTTCTATTCTGATGAATAAGCACAGCACAAAACATGGTTTATGTATATGGCATATGCTCAAAAACATTAGGTCAAATATGACCTCCAAGCTTGGTTCAAAATATAGTGAATTTCATACTGATCTTGTTAAATATCTTAATCATTGCATTGATCAAAGTGAGTTTGAGGAACTATAGAATAAAATTATAGTAAATAATAATTATTCAGAAGCAAAGTCGTATCTTGAAGTTCTTAGCCAGTGGCATGAGTAGTGGGCTCTTGCGTACCTTAAAGACTATTTTTTTGCCGATATATCATCAACACAAAGAGGAGAATCAATGAATAAGCTGTTAAAAGGCTTTCTTGATCGCAAATCTATGCTTTCTGATTTTTTGGCTGCTTTTGAGAGAGCATTTGATACACGTGAGGAGGCTAAACATGTATCCGTATATAAGGAGCTTGTTTATCTTACCCGTTCAAATTTTCAAAATCCGATTGAAAATCAAGCTGCTAGTTGTCTTACATGATATGCATAGAAAAAATTTGCAGCCAAATGGAGTGCTAAAGATGCATATAGATATGAGGAAATAACTAAAGATGATGATTTGTGTCATTTTAAACTGTCTCGCTATGAAAAACCTGACAATATACGTTGGGTGTGTTATGATGGTTGTTTATTTACTTGTAGCTACTGTAATCTTAAATTTGCTGGAATAGTTTGCTGGCATTCTCTTGCAGTAGCTTTTCGTCTTTCTCTTGTTTAGCTTGATTCTGTTTATTTTCCAAAGCGTTGGCAAAAAGATCTATCTGAATTGGAGCTTGCAAAGGACTATATAAATTTTTATAGCAATGCTCAATCACAAACTCCGGAAACTCCAACATTACATGAATCATCCAGTGAAAGTACCTCTCAATTACGGTATATGCGTATTCATCGATTGTCAGAAGAAATTGTAAATAAAATTGCAACAGATCCTAACAAATGTGCTGATTTTATGTCATATCTTGAAAAATATTTGAAAGAATTATATACTACTTCTAGTAATGTTTTAGGTCCAAACTGTATGTCACATTCTAGTGAGAACATATTATCATTCTCAAAACATCCGATAGTTAGCAACCCAATAAAGAGCAAGGCTGTTGGAAGACCAAAAAAAGGAAGGATTGAGTGTGTAAAGAAAAATATTACAGTGAAAAAGAAGCGAGGTCAGCTGAAAAAAATTCTTGAAGAAAGTGTAATTGGAAACCAAGTCGAGAACAAGAAAGCGTGATTGGAAACCAAATCAAGAATTTGAAATATTTATGAAAACGCCCTAGACTAGTATTATATAAAGTATATTTATATTATATTTAAATCACTGGTATAAATTTAAAAAATGTTTTATGTTGAATGACATGATTCGAATTTTACTCAAACTACTATTCGAATTACCATTCAACACTCTAACATGATTTCACAAACATGTATGTCTGTGAAATTATATAATAGTATTGAATGGCGACTCAAATAGCAGTTTGAGTAGCATTCAAATCATGTCATTCAATATAAAACATTATTTAAATTTTATTAGTGAGTGCGCAAAACTTAATATATATATTATACTTTAAATTTTAAAATTAGATTGGATACAAGATTAAAGAAACCAAATGAAGCAAGTAATCAAAGAGATCGAACAAGATAAAATGAGCAAAGAAAATGAATAAACTAAGGACTAAGTAATTAATATTTCAATATTTTAAAGGATTTTTTTTTAAAAAATTTTAATTTTTAATTTTAAAAATTTAAAAATTTTTTAAAATTTTATCTATTTTAAACTTTTTTTAAATTTAAAAAAAATTCAAATTATATTACATTCAACTATTATAAGTGAAGTACATGCAGCTAAATTGTGTGGGCAATAAACTGATGCGTATTCATTAATGAATAATCTATGAGTTAAAATTGCTTATTTACGAAACAAGTAATGGTTTTATTTCAAAAATTTTGTGATAAGCAAACAAATTCGATTGTGATTATAAAGTTAAAAGATAGTGAAATTTTGGGTCGATATAATTTATTTTGTAGCATAGAAAAATTAAATCACTAATTGTGCAACTGAAAAATTTGCGATTTTGATTGGTTGCAAGCAATAGTAATTTTATGCTAGCAAGACGATTTGATTTATTCAATATATAGATCGTGTTATACTAATATTAGTGGATTCGACCTATACAGTCAAGTTACACAAAAAAGTATTTCATATGGTGTGTCATATGATTTGTCACATGATTTTATCGCATTTTTATTAGTGAATATATAGGAGATATATAGGTTATATATCTCCTATGAGAGATACCTAAAAGAACCCAATCTAAATAGGTAGAGTATATAAAAAATGAATATTATAGTAATTATAAAAAGTGGGTCGATGCTTATCGATTATATGAGTATCAGAAAATAAATAATACAAACTATATTAAATCTTAGCATAAAAAATTTAAATATACATATCTAAATAGAAAACAAAATCATCAAATTGATAACTAGTTTAGACCTTATGCACTGCTCTAACAAATGCCAAGTTTGAATATAAAGCTACTGATTTAATAATTAGAAGAATGAAACTATAACAAAAAGAACAAAGATATTAAGAACTTGAAGGATTAAATTTGAAAAATTATAAAATATCTGGTAGTCACTGTTTTTTTGTAAAGTCATCATTTTCGAATCAAAACTATAAGATTAGTATTAAAGATACAATACAAGATACCACAAATATAAAGCTTGCAGATTTTGAATACAATTGCACAGATTTCAAATTCTGTAGAATAGAATACAAATACATATATTGTGTTTGCCAGAAGTTCTATCTAGTACAAATATCTGAAGTTTCTTATACTTAAGAAATTCAGAAAATAGAAGAGCTCAAGCAAATTGTTAATATATCTTTTAATGATTGAGTTAATGCTATTTGAAGTATTTGGAATAATTATAATCAAGAAGATAGAAATCTTATTATTGCTACTAATATAGAAGTAATTGTGAGTTTAGGAATAAAAAAAAAATCGAAAATTCCTTTATATGATAATTTTTTTATTTCAGATTCTACACTAAAAGAAACTAATTATAATATAAAAAAACAATTAAATTAAACATTAAATTCTAATAATAAAATAAATACTGTATTGCAATAAATATGTTCATTCATTTTTTTTTGATATATGCTATACTATATGATCTGAAATTTAAAAAAATTTGCAATAGTAAAAAATCTTAAATAAAAAAATTATATATCTAGTGTAAAATAACTTGTCATTATATAATACTGTAGATAATAATTCTTTCATTTAGAAAGTTTATTATATGTAAGATACTATATGGATCAAATAATTTAAATTTAGATTTTTAAATATTAAATAGCTGTTATTATATAAAATTTATTTAGTTTTGTATAGTACTTAGCTTTTTCTTAAAAATTAAACTATTTATAAATTTTCTTAACGTAATAGTAAGCTCTAATAGAATTTTCTTTATATGCATCAAATATTATTAATAGAAAAAAAATATTAGATTGTTAATACAAATTCATGATCTCATAATCAATTCTGATTAGCTGTATATATAGAACAATACAGTAGATCATTACAAAATATTATATAATCTGTTGTACAAATAGATACACTCTATTTAATACTAATACATTAGTTTCTATAACTTTGATAATTCAGATTTTAAAACTCTAATTTATAAGGCTCAAACTTTAATATTTAATTTTAGCTCATATTATCTATTTTAATAAACAAAATGTTAGCTTATTTTAATTAGTCAATTTATTCAAAAATTTTTTCTTTTAAAACATTACTATTTATTATTTAGTTATATTGTTCTAGTACAATACTATATATAGTATAACTATTCTTATATAAATTTGTTTTAGTTTTCTATAAGTTATACAGTTAAATATTACTCAAGTTTATTAATACAATTTGATTAGTCAGTTTATTAGTAAATAAAATATGCATTAAAATCATGCGATTGAAGTTAAAAAAATTACGTAACTAATGACCTTATTCAAAATGCATTATTTTATGTTGTAAAACAATTTACTACTAAATAAATTTAATGTTTTATTATTAAATCAGATTTTGATAAAAGTAATCGAAGTTGGATACTCATGAATGTTTTGTGTAACTTATAGAATATAATATACGTTTTATAATAATAATACAAATAAAACATACTTGTCAAACTCTCTCTGTTAATCATTCCGACTATTTTTGAAGCAGAAGGAAAAACTTAAAAAATACCAATTTCCTATTAAGAAACAATAGTTGAGCCTTTAAGAAAAAGAGAAGAGACCACAAAATTACACATATCTAAGTTCAAGAAAAAGAAGTCAAAAAGAAAACAAAAAGGCTAGAAGTAGTTTAAACATAATTTAGTGTATCAGAAACTTTTTACTACAAAAAGTGGGAATTAGGAATACTCTGTACTGTAGATCACCTCACGTAATACAATCACGTGAAAAGAGGTAAACAAACAAACGCGTCTTAAATTAATTTTATGTGTCACGTAGCACCAACTAGAAATCAAATACGCATAACCAAAACCGGATAATTCACTAGCAAAGAGGAAAAAATCTAGGGAATTTTAGAAAAAAGGTGAAGTTACTTAAGAAACCTCAAATAGAAGATTAGCTTTTAGAAGTATATTTAGAAGTTAGGATCAAATACACAGACCAATTAGTTATCAGAAAGATGTGGAATAGAGAATAAATGATGAGAATGACTAAGAAAATAGCTGAGGAATATGGTAAAGAAATTTTAGCTGAAACAAGCAAGTCAGTAATAGGATTCGAAGAACATATAGACAAGATAGTAGCAGAAATAATAGGAGTTAAAAGTGAAGTAGTTATAGCAGCAAGAGAATAGAAAAAAGTAATTGGAAGAGCAGCAATGAATGAAGGGATCAAGAAAGTAGAATATATTCTAAAACAAGAAAGCAACGAGACAAACAATCATCCTAACGAACAAGAACTAGAAGTAAATAAAATGAGTACAGAAACAGCAAATATAGAAGAATCATCTAGAGTAGAGCTTATAGAAGTAGAAATGACCTCAGTTGAAACTCAATGTGAAACAGAGACAATAACTACAACTAGAAACATAGCAAAGAGTATGGAAGAAATTAAAATAACTCAAGAAGATGTTTTAGACTTAACAAAATCACTAAATGATAGTATATGGGTACCAAGAAAAGAAAGATGTGAAAATATAAAAGAAATCAAAGCAAAAGTTTCAGCAGGAAATGTACTAGGAGATAATGCAGAACACTGAGCAAAGTCACTAAAATGGGCACTAAGAGGAAACTCTCATATAAAAAGAATATACGAGGAGTTTTCTAAGGGAAACCTATGGTGTGTACTAATTTTTGACTGTGAGAAAGGTTTTGAAGATATGCAAAAAAGATTAGCAGAAAGAAAGGAAGAACAAGAGCAGTTCAGATTAATAAAAGAAGAGAAGAATTCAGAAGCAAATCACTCAAGTATAACAGAAATTAACAACCAAAACAGAAAAGAAAACAAGAGAGGTAAA